ATATATAAAATTTATATATAAATAAAATCATATTCATTAATAAAATTAAAAATTAAATTAGCGATCGTAACGTCATAACGGTGTCATTAACTTTAGACGAGAGTGAGAGAGAGAGAAAGAGAGAGAGAAGTGGTTGGTGGGGCCCATTTCCCTAAAAGTTGTTCCCGTCGGTGGAGAGGTGGCACAGCAACGCTACGACCGCCGAGTGCCGACGGGGGTCCACTGCTTTCATCGCTGATTTAAGTGACCATCGTTATCGCCTGTGTGCCCGCCGCCGCCGCCAACGCACACATTCTCCATTTCCTTTCAGTACAGTACAGACTCCTTCGCCTTCACCAGGGCCACCAACTACCTCATTTAATTAGTAAAAATTTCCAACCTTTTTACTACAGTAAAAATTTACTTTTACGCCTTGTTATTTCATCAGTAAAAAGTAAAATTTTCATTAATAATTACCCTAAGAATTACCAGCATTGGCTAGGAAACATTTAAAATATCAATAGTTCTTCGTTGGCTAAAAGTTTATATAGATAAAACCCTTTATTAAACCCTCCAGTATGAGTAATTTAACATTTTGTTTATAATAAACTTAATATTCGTTTATATTTTACTTACATAAATAATAAACTTAATATTCGTTTATATTTTACTTACATAAATAATTTCAGTATTTTCTATATAAATAATAACATATTAATAGCATGGTCATGCACGTGAAATATATATAAACATTAAATCTGTTGTAAAAAATAAAAAAAAAATTATCTAAATTATCAAATCTAAAGATGTGTTTATTTTAATAAAAGTTTAAAAGTTTAATCAAGAATGTGAAATAAATTTAAGGATTTAACATAAAGTTTTATCAAAAGTTTAAGAGTTTAAAGGTATTTTTAGTATATCAGTTAAAATTTAATAATAAATAAGTAGTATTAACAAATAATGAATAATGGGTTAGCAATAGGTAAAAGATGGCTAAGTAGGACAACCATTTGATTATATAACACTAACTGTTGATGTTCGACATTAAATAACTAATAATCACACATTACAAATAGTGTTTCTCTTTTATTTTATATTTTCTGCTACTAAAAAAGAATTTTAATAGTAATATACAATTATAATTCTTGAATTGAACTTTTCTTTATTACAAATTTTTTAAAATAAAAAATAAAACCTAATTTTAATGATTAATTTTGTTAAATAAATAAAAAAAATTTCCCAATTCACTAATGAATTGGGGTAAAAAACTACCCAATATAACTTTTTTTAATCCGCTAATGAATTAAGATTTTATCTTTCAACCACTAATGAAAGAATTTACCCAATACGTTTTTGTAACGATTGAAAATTAAAAAATTTACTAATCACCTATACTAAAACCACTAAAACCACCATCTGCTAAGTTTAAACCATCGTACCAGACGGATCCTGCCTTCTATATATCATAAAAAGAAAAAGAAAAGATAAAATTTCCACGAATTCAAGTGTCAACAATCCAAAAATGAAAAGGAATTTGAAGGGGGAAAAAACTTAACTATCTAAGTGCCATTTTCAGCCTCAACTCTTATATTTGGGCCAAGGTGAGCCCAAAAACCCTCAAAAGGAAATAATAAATTAATAATGTTTCGTCGATAGTTGTTCTTCGAACCAACAAATAGCAGGTCATCAGCTCCGTTAACAACTTAAATAATTTAGTAATTATTTTTTATTCGATAGAATGAAATAAAAAATGTGAAATAGTAACTTTTTATTATGCAACTAAGATAAAAAATAAAAAAAATAAAAAAAAAAAGGCAGTCATCAGCCCCAGGAAATACTGAATAGATATGAAGGTCCAATTGAACTGTGGCAGGGCAGGGGTTTACTCGGGGACCACTTTATTTGGGCCATTATAGGCATTGCAGTCCGGGTCTGTTACTGTAAATGGATTAGAAGGCCCAAAACTTGAACCCCCAGTGAAAAATCACTCTTTTTTTTTCTAAGCAACATTTAACATTTTAAGCTGCAAATATTTAATATCCCCATTCACCTTGATATGAAGATAAAAAGAAACCAAAGTAAAATCAATTATTATGCCCCTTTTTTTTCGGCCATTCAATTATGTAGTATGCCCCTCGATAGGCCCAAATGTGAAGGAAAAAGAATATAATTATATAAAGATGTAAGTAATAGTTTGACAATTTAATTTGAGATCCTAAGGCACCATAATGAAACTAAAATATAACTCATATAAATATACTTTTAAGATATTCACTATTCATTTCGTGACCTGTTCATATATTTTCAATTAAATATGAGTTGAATAGAGGGTTACTAAATAAGTTTGGGAAGGAAATTTAATCTCTATATGAATTTAAATAAATAAAGATATATCATATTTATATAGAAATTTTCAACTCTATTTATCATTAATACTGTATAAATCACGCTATGCATCTTTATTTTTTATTTAATTCATGGTACATATTATTAAAAATTATTGCATGAAATCTTTTCTTAATCATAATTATACTCTCTAAATTAGTTTTGACAATTATTAAAAAAAACATTTAGAACATTAATATATATTTTACATGAAATAGTAAACATTAAAAATATAGAAATAATAAAATTCTATATTAAATTGACTAAGTTATATTATCATCTTAGATTATTAAATTAGTTTATAATTAAATAAAAAAATTAAATATTGCTTAATGAACATAAGAGTTTTTTTTTTTTTTTTTGGGAAAATAGGTAATGAAAACATCATAGTATTTGATATCGTTAAAAAAATCTAAAAACAAAAAAAATTAGTTCAATAATATAGGATATCAAGTTTTGATATTTTTTTTATATTGATTTTCCTATTGCTTTTTCCAGCACGGACCGACAGATTGTTTACCACTGGTGTTTGCACCTTCTAGATGGTACCGCCACCTTATTTTATATATATATATATATATTGGCTTCTTCAATGGTAAAATGGCAGACTGGTCCTTTAGCCTTTACTTAATGAGTGATTTGATCCTTAAACTTCAAATCATTTATTTAGATCCCCGATTTCAACTTCATTCTTGGGGTATAGTGCCTTAACTTTGAAAATATCTGCACACAAGTTGCACAACTTCTATTTTTATACATTCAAGTTCTTTTCTGCAAAAATATGAAAATGATGTAAAATTCAAATAAAAGCACATAAAAGCTGATGATTCAAGTAATATAATATCAAAAATATAGTATATCTCGTAAACTAATTAAGTACCAAAATTAATGAATTCTAATTTTATTTAAACAATTGAAATTAAATTATTTGAATAAATTAAATAACTAAACCAATTAAAGAAAAACTAAATTAATTTTGAGTAACACCAAGAATTAAAAGTCTAAGGCATCAGACTTCACCATAATCAACTAATATAAAATTTAGATCAATATACTTCCAAAGTATTTATTATTCATGTGACAGCGGGATTTCCTATTTTATTCATATACTTTCTCAAATTATACCTATCTCTATATGAATTTAAATAGATAAAGATGCATTATATTCTATAAAATTCCCTAGTTTAATTAAGTCCACTACACAAATCACGTCTGGCTTTCGTTCAATTCATGATATATATTACTAGAAGCTATTGCATAAAATCTTCTCTTAGTCTCATTTATGCTCTCCAAATCAGTTGTAATGGTGTTAATTATTAAAAAGCATTAAGAACAATAATATATATTTTACATGAAATAATAACTCTTGAAAATATAAAAATCATGAAATTCTATATTAAATTATTCATGCTAGCTTTAGATGGCTAAATTAATTCTTACTAAACATGATAAAATTTGAGATTAAATTGATAAACCACAATTTCATATCCAAACAAAGAAAAAAGTAAGTGTAAAAGAGCAAAAACCCAATTTGCGGAGCACTAGAATTAGATTCGTAGCCTTCGCTGTCGCGCCTGTCCTCTTCTTCGACTTAAATCCCCTCTGTGGCTGCCCTTAGTCCCCTCGTCACCCACGCAGCAATCCCCCTTGGTTTTGCCTCGTAGGTCTTTTTCGTCTCTCTGTCGGCTGCCTCTTTGATTTCTGCAGTCACCCGCTCAGAAGTCTTGCTTGGTCCGCCTCCAAAATCTCCCTTTTTCTTTTGCCGACCTCCCTTTTTATATCCAACAATCTGCCCTTCTTTAGAAAACCGTGTGCCCTTCTTTAAAAAGCCCATCTCATCTCCACAATGAGATAAAGCCCACGATGCTGTGCCACGTGTATACAGGAAGAAAAATTCAATTCTGGTCTTCCAATGGGGAAATAATGGAATCAGACTTAATGTTTTCAACTTTTGTCACTTCAGCTCATTTACTCTTGATTTCTTTAGTTTTACCCTCTACCTTCAAAGAATGATAAAAACAATATAAAACCAAATAAAATCGTTCCAATAAAATATAAAAGATTACAATTCATGACTAAAAAGCTATGTATAATTGTATGAAATTTAGGCTCATCAAAAGCCATTCAAATAATTATAAAATCAACCAAAATAATAAAATGAATCATATAGAAGCTTAACTCAATAAAACATTAGTTTTTTTTCTAAAAAAATAAAAACATATAGAACTTCATCTCATCATATATAGCATATGAGAGATTTTGCTATATCATGAGTTTATATATGTATCCCAAATCAATAAAAATTGAAAACTCACCTAATAACCAATAAAACGGATGAATTGTTAATTTAAATATATTGGTTTAGATACATATCCCGTGATACAATATTTTTCTTTTTCGTACGTAGCACTACCCTTTGATCATGTCAGCTTCATAGGAAAACGGAACTTAGGCATACATATTTTCACATTTCTTCCATTGATTAAAACATGATATATTGCAACATATATCAGTATTATTTTCATAATTATACATATATATGTATGAGAAATGATTTATTTATATACAAATTTTATACATTATATTTATATAAAATCTTAATTATTCATTTTTTTATTTTTAATAATTAAGATTTATTAATTTTTAGATAAAAATAATTATTTTTAATAAATGTAAATAAATCACAATTTTTAAAAGTAAAAAGATAAATAATTAAGATTTTATATAAGTGTTGTTTATAAATCTTATGTGTAAGTAGATTTCTAATATATATATATATATATAAATATATCCTCTCTTTTATTTTTGATAAAATGTGAATTTTATTTATTCAATGTAACAATACAATACAATAGAGCAGCAAGCTGCTACAAAGAATGAATACCAACAAACAATATCAAAATACACAAATATATGCAACTACCCTACAAAATTTAGTCTTGCACCATTGTTTCAAGCCCCCATTGACATGCAATGGCCACACGCAAATGGGAGGATCTTGGCGAAGCAAAACCCAAGATTTTACACCTAACATCAAATTTGATTTCATGTACAATAGCAATGTAATTCTTAAAAGTTTTCTAGTGAATTCTCTTGTTTCTCTCCATCAAAATATGGTAAACTGCAGCATTCCATGCTAACTTGATTAAAACACAATATAAGGATTTTCTTCTAACCTTTTTCCCCATCCAACTTAGCAAGCCCCTTTAGGAATCAATGAAAGGGATGGCAAGCATGCTGCTGAGTTGTTGCCATACTCTTCCGCGTAAGAGCATTTAAAAAACAGGTGCTTGTTCGTCTCAGAATTATTGTTGCATAGGATGCATGTAACGAGGATAGTAGGAGTCCATTTCCTTTGCCTAGCCCTTGTGCTCAATCTATTAAGAATAGCTAGCCAACTTATGAAACTGTGCTTGGGAATAGCTTGAGAAAACCAGACTAGTTTATACCATATTTTCCTGTCTTGCTTGCTTCTTAACCAGTGCCAACTTTGCCTAGTTCTGAAAGAACCAGAAGAGGAAGGTAACCATACTACTGAATCCTTCTCTCCTTCCTTTGGGTAGAAATCAAACAAATCCATTTGAATTTGTATTAGTTGGGGAGATCTAGCAGGAGGCCATTGCCAAAAGCCACCATTTATTACTCTAGCCAATTTTGCCTGGGAAGGTAGCCCTGTAGCTTGAACAATAGAGCTGCCATACACCTATAATAAAGGGCCAAAAGGATGCCAGTTGTCATGCCAAATATATATATCTTGGCCATCACCTGGTACATGTTGAATAAGCTTCCTAGCCAGTTGTCTTAGCTTCAAAATTTTTCTCCATCCCCAAGAAGCATCAATAGGTATTTTAATAGTCCAGAAACTATTGCCCCGGAGCAAATATTCATGGACCCACACTACCCAAATTGAACCTGCTTTAGAGAATAATAACCAGATAGATCTGAGAATGCAAGTGTGATTCTAGTGCACCAAGTTTTTTAGTCCTAAGCCACCCTCCTGCTTGGGAGTACACACAGTAGTCCATTTTACCTTGGCCCCTTTAGCACTATGAGTGTCATTATTCCACAAGAAGGCACCACATATTTTCTCCACTTCTTTTATGACTCCTTTAGGCAATATAAAAACAGAACACCAAAAATTGATTATCCCCTGAATGATAAAAGAAATTAGTTGCAATCTTCCAGGAAAAGAGAGGTGTTTTGCTGCCCATGAAGTCATCCTTTCAGTTATTTTCGACACCAAGGGTCTAAGATCTTTTTGAGTCAATTTACCCGTGATCAAAGGCACACCTAAGTATCTGACTGGTAGTGCTCCAATTTTGAACCCAAACTTGTCAGTAAGTTGCTGAAGTTGATTTGTAGAAAGACCATAACAAAAAAGCTCTAACTTAGCATAATTGACTCGTAAACCAGATATCTCATGAAATTTCTTCAAGACATCATCAATAGCCTCAAGAGAAGAGAGACTAAATATATCCTCATTTAAAGTGTCCTTTTCACTTTATTCTCACCTTTACTAGAAGCCCCAAAAAAAAAAAATAAAAAAACAGCATTTACATGATTCAATGCAAGTGGGCAAATTAATATAATCCCTTTGTTTTAAATAATTAAATATATTACCTTTTGCCTATGTTGGTCGCTCATATCAAGCAATAATTAGTATAATCAACACAAGTAACCAGTGATATATGGTTTTCTTCAAGTAGAAATAGATGTATTGAGTTTAGTTATATGCATGCTGGTTGAGAAAAAAGTAAATGAGCACAGGTTTGCTTTATTAACTGCTTTGGATTATCTATTCATATATATGGCTAAAGAAAGCTCAAAGCAATTTTGAATAGAGAAAATAGGGTTACTAATTCCTTGTAAATTTCGTAGTTTCAACCTAGAGGACCTACCTTTAATTGAATTTTTTTTTTTTTTTCGTGTGTTTAGGGTTTTCACACCATTTGTCTTAAAAGGTAGTTAATAGAGGCAACTTACCATCCGCAAAAGCAGTAGCATAAACCATGCCAAAGTTGACAAAAATGATCATAAAGCTATTGCAATTGTTTTGGCTGAAGAAACATCAGTTTCATCAACATGAGTTAGGGACCACCATATTCCCTAATAATTCTCCCCCGAATTGTCTTAATCTTTAAAACTAAGGACCCAACTAAAATTATGTGTTACTAATTTGATTTGTCTTTATAGCAGCGAAAAAAATATCTACATTTGCCCCAACAAAAATTTGAAACTTCCACATAAATAAGAACCACAAACGATTCAATCACTTTGGCTAGGATAGAGCAAAAAAAAAAAAAAAGAAAGAAAAAAAGAAAAGAGATTCCATTCAAAGGAGGGAACGAAGAAAATTATATATGTGTACACGAATGAGAGTTTGATCAGGTTAGGTTTAGTTAGACAGTAGTAGTCCGTAATTCATGACGTTGTTGATACGTAGTTATAATTGTAAGTGTTTTGGCCTTTTAACATCTTAAAAAATATATAATATATATTTAGTATTTATTTTAATCAGAGTTAAAATTTATTTACACATAAATTTTATATATTATACTTGTAGAAAATTTTAATCATTTATCTCTCAATTTTTAATAATTAAAATTTATCACAACTTTTTATATAAAAAAAGATAATAATTTTTAGTAAATATAATAAAAAATAAATTTCAACCTTTAAAAATAAAAAAATATTATGTATAAATAAATTTTTATCACTGAATCATTTAAGTTGTTATTAATATTTTATATATTTAAAAAAAATAAAAAACAAAAAAAAAATTAAAACACCGAAAAGCATTCTCAATAAGAATTTTTTTTTTTAACAATTTTACAAGAGATCGAATTCAAACCATTGCCTAAAAGAAAAGGATATACTTAAACGTAACTTCACATCATTAAACCCGAAAACCCAAGTGCTTCTCAATGACAATGAGAACCTTAGCCATCATAAATTAGCTAGTGTTTATCATTTCGAGCGGTTTAAATTAATCTAGCTCCGTAATAGTTAAGCAGATAAAAAAAATTGATCAAACATATGTGGATAATGCTTGCATCAATTAATAACTGATATCTGTTTAATGCTTGCATCAATTAATAAAAACTGAATTCCAAATAAACATGTTCTTCAAATTTCCAGAAAAAGTAAAAACTACGTACGTGCATCCATACGGAACTATTTAAGGTTCACGGTATACCTAACCCCCAAGTATAGATTTATGTATTTATATGTATTGAGTTTTTAGACGTACACTATTTATCTACCATCTTCAATCCTTTTCCTCGGAACTCCACCCTGTCGTCATCCTGCTAAATCATGAAGCAACTGTGCCCCCATCAAGTTCCGATACGGTAAGTGCTGCCCTTCGCCATCCAAAAGTGAGTACTGCACCGGTTGGCAATCTTCAATGTGGTCTCTAGGGTAAAAGAAAGAGCTTTGTGATGCAGGAGAGAACGCCAGGCTGACCCCATCCCCACCGTGCTGCTGTAACCCTAACGTCAACGATACCCCTCCACCACTGAAATTGTGGTTAGCATTCTCACCTGAGAAAGACACCCCACCGGCAGTGTGGTGGTTGTAGGAAGAAAAGTCTAACTCCATGGCAGCACCACCATATGTCCCGAAGCCATGCATGTGGTGGTCTTGAAGAGTTTTGGCAACTTTAGGATCAGTTTTTTCCGGATTTGCAATGATGGAAGACAGACATTCTGAGTCGACACGGCCAAGCTGATCGGCGGTGGGTTTCTGATCCGGCAGAGGGTTTTGGTTCTCATTACCGATCTCAGCATCAGAGGATGCCATGTTGCTTTCGTCCTCCTTAAGCTCTTCCAAGTACATTTCTTCCACCATTGGCTTCCACAGCCTCACCCTTGCGTTAATGAACCAATTGGATACCTAAAAAACCCCAAACACAGAATCAAAAATATAATAATCTTTCAATTATTGCATATGACTACATCAACAAGATATGCCATCTACAGTATTTAAATTAAAAAACAAAAAATAAGATATGCTCTATATTGATAATATAACTTAATAATTCACCGAATAAACAATTGAAAGATGTGGACGTGCCTGGCTTCTCGAGAGACCTGTTTGGCGCGCTAGGATGTGTTTATCAACATCACTTGGGTAGCTGCACAACATTTTTCCAAAAAATTAAATTCATCAGCACCGTTTGGATTTATATATGTGTATAGCAGAATCAAATCCTAGAAAAACAATCTCAGAAAATTGATTGCAGAAGATGAATGATTGACACAAATATGACAAAGATGAAGGTAACATGGAATCTAAATGCTGATGAATAGAAAGTAAAAAAAAAAAAAAATTACATTTTTACTATGTAACCACCACAAATATAGTTTTCCTCTTCTTTGGAGAAAGCATTTATTCTTTCCCAAAATCTACTTTGTAACTTTCTTATATAAAGTTTTAATTTTGATTCATGTTAGGAAGGGATTTGTGTAATATATATATGCTTACGGGTGAAGAAAATGCTCGAACAACCAAGCTCGGAGAACAGAAACAGATCTGTCAGGCAACCCCCTTTGAGGCCGCCATGGATGAGTCTCCATCATGTTCATCTGTTGAAATGCTCTTTGTTGTCTCATGGTTTGATCCAGGATTCTCAGCCTTGGAGTTTCACCTCTTGTTGTTCCCGGTGCAACTGGGTCTTTCTCCCCCATGGCCTTCTTTGTAGCCTGAATCTGACTCACAATCCCATCCCTTAAGCATCTGAAATGCCTTGACATGGCCTTGGAGGCTAAAGCCGAGTACACCGAAGCTGCTCCTGCACCGGCCACTGCCTCAAAGGAAGATACCACTGCTTTCATTTGATCACAGTAATGCCTGTATCTTCTGTCCACCTACCGTCAAGTGAAATTAAGAGAAGTTACAGCATGGAATGCAAACAAAAAGCAGACTGGTAAGATGAAAACATTATAAAGATGCCATGAAAAGAAAAAAAAAATGGGGAATAGAGGTTTCTGAAAGTAAATGAAAAGCAAAAATTGTCACGATGTGGGCATTAATGGAGAGGACCCAAGTCGCAAAATTAGTTCAAGAAACAAAATTTTTGAGACCCCTCTTCAATTTTGATTGAGAAAAACGTTCTTTTTTCCTTTAATTTGAAGAAAACAAAAAAGAAAGGATCTTTAAGTAGTAAAAAATTGAATCTTTGAGAGAAGAATCATGTACCTCTTCTAGCATTGAAAGCAGCTTTGTTTTTCTTTTCTGTAATTCCATGAAATCAAGTGAGTAAAGTGATTGCTTTCTTGAAGAACAGCTTCCATTCTCATCATCCCACTGTTTGTTCTTTTGCTTTTGTTTTGTCACTGCATCCATCTGCTTAGTTCCAAGACTGCAAAACTCATTAAGAAGCTCCTGAGCAGGACCCAGGTACTTTGAATTCCTAAGCTGGAACTGTCCTTGATGATGAAGCTGATTTCCACCTTTCCCCAAAAACCCATCTGGGGTCATGTTACTGTGGTTAGTCTGTCTCAGTTCAAAAGACTGTAACCCAATACTGGTAGGATTGCTTGAAGAAAGAGAAAGAGAAAGTCCTTGACTTGGCCTTTCATTTCCTTCACAAGGAAACACACACCTCAGAGAAGAATCGTCCAGAAGCAACCTGTTTTGATCTTGCCAAGAAGCGGAATCAGATCCCATTATCAAATACCTCTCACTACCACTTTCAGAAATCCCTGTTTGGATTTCATGTTGGTAGAAATCTGCTGTAGACTGATCATTAATTGTAGTCTTTGAAGAAGAAGGACCGGCCGTATTTCCAGGTTTCCCAAACACCCCTTTCCAGCTGCTGGAGTCACTCTGATTCTTGGAAAATCCTATCATCTCCATGCCTGTTGTCAAGTTGAAAATCTCAGGGTTTGATTCGAAGGCTTGGATCTGATTCACAAGATGGGTTTGATCTGAGTAGCAAAAGGCACCAGCCGAGGAGGAGACCATGTTATTCCTTGTTTTATCTTCACAGATTTCTCCAGCCATGAACCCGCAAAGTTTCTATCTTTCTTTCTGAAAAGTTGATGTTGATTTTCTCTCCAACTATAATTCCATCAAGACCCCATATTCCCCCCAAAAAAAGAACCCATTAACAGACGAATAAACAGATCATTAATACACGAATGAAATTAAAGAAGACTTTCAAAAAGAGAAAACTTTGGTTTTGTTTCTTGTTTTGGATCAAACTTATCGGAAGAGAGAGAGAGAAAAGAGGTCTTACCAGCTTCGGAAGAAGAAGAAGAAATAGGGAGAGGTGCTGTTTCTTTGAGGGATCGAGAAGGAGGAGGAGGAAGAAGGGAAGTCTCGCTCAAGATTCAAACTTGGTGGGTTAATAAGGCAACATCGACTGCCATGGAAAACCAACCTAAGCAAAAGGCTCAGATATATCTTCTTAGAAATAGAAGATCGTCAGATAGCGGTGATGATGACCCTTCAACATAGCCATGATCATGCTTCACATATGCCTCTCTCTCTAGCTTTAGTGGGTCAAATGCACCATTATGTTATAAATTTTAGGTTAAACCTCCAAATATGGTCCCTTAACTATTATTAAAGCATTTGAATTGGTCTTTAAATTAAAAAAATTTTAACTTGATCTTTAAAATTTTTAAATTTGATTATAAATCTATTCTTTTGTTCAAAAATAATTAATGTGTTTTATTATTAATGTAACGTACAGTCATTAAACAATGATTTTCTGTTATCAAGTAACAAACATGTTAATTTTTTAACAAAATGATCAATTTAAAACTAAATTTAAAAATTTTAGAGATTAAATTAAAAAAATTTTTAGTTTAGGGATTAATTCAAGATTTGTATAATAATTAAAGGATCAAATTAAATATTTAACTTAAATTTAAAAAATTAAATAAATCCAAAAGAGACTTCTTGGTAAAATAATGATAATAATAATAATAATAATAAAGAAGTAATCTCATTGCCAGATTCCCCTCAATTATTCCCTACCCCAGAATAGTATAAGATTTTACGGTAGAAAAATTAATGATTAAGAAGATAATTAATCCTTTGGTTTGCAAGGTAGGAAGAAAGAAACAACAGAAGAAAGAAACAACAGAAGAAAGTAACAATCAGTCTTTGCCTGGTACACAAACTACAAGCCGCCAGAGATGTTGATCACATGTTGTTTGCATATTTTAATGATTCTTTTTTTTTTTTATTAATATTGTAGTAGTAATAGTAAGTAGAAATCCCCCCCACCCTCTCTCAATCACAGTAAATGAAAAAGAAAAAAAAAATTAGGGGACGAATCCCAATGAATCATTCCTAAGTAGGAGTTGAATCCAGGCTTTTTCAGATGGGGTTTGAGTGAAGGGTTTGTGTTCATTGGGTGGAAAATGGAGTGTGGGCCTGAGCTGTTTCTTCTTCAAAGATGTGAATTCCTGAATTTTGTTTCTGATTGGAAGTGTGTTGTGGAAAATTGTTTTCCAAAAATAAGGGAGTGTTTGGAGAGGAGATGAGGTGGTCCAATATTTCTCCATCTAATTCCAATTAATTGCTCTATTAAACAACTCCACCCATCCATTGCATGGGATTGGGACCGCATCTTTTCCTTTCATTTATGACCCCCCCCCTCTCCCCATTTTATGCTTCTTCCACGCGCGCCTTCCCCACCGTGTTGTCACCACCCCGTAGATATTATTATTATTATCATTATGTAAAAGTATTCTTTCCAATTTCATTTATACACAATTTATTGAATATATTCTATAGAAATAGAAACAATATCAATATTACTCTTATGCATTAAATTGACCCTTTTAATCCTGAGAAAAAAAAAAACCTTTTGAAAGGGAATGAAAATATGAATCAAGCTCATGAAACTTTTCATTTTAAAAATAAAATAAAATAGGTGTACGTTTTCCAAAATCATAAAACAAGTCATTTTCAACATATTAAGTATACAATTTTTTTTTTATAAAAAAAAACAAACCTTCAACACGTTTTTGCAATCATTTTCTATTTATGAGAAACTGCGCCAAAAATAAAAAAGGGCAATTGAAGGGAATTTGGATTAAGGTTGAAAAGAAAAAGGTTTAAAGTGAGTAAAGAAGACGCGGTAGAGACGAGAGTGGGGACAAGCAAAGCAGAAGGGGCTTTAATTTTTGTCCGTTAAAAGCAGGTGGTCCTGGAAGGAAGCTTTCTCCGCCGCTTGCCAAATTTCTCCGACCCTAAACCCTACCCCATGCCACCGTCACCTATCTTGTTCTTCATCTACTTGTACGTACTCACCCCACTTCCCCTGCGCATCCCGGCGTACTGTAGCAACCTCATGTTCAGTTACTTCAGTTAAACACCCCTTTTTTTCTCCCTTACGTAACTTTCATTTAGATATTTTCATGTTATGGCTTTTACATCAAGTTATACACACAAACCCAAAACTGCTTTTTTTTTTCTTTTTCTTTTTCTTCCCCCCTAACACCAGACTTCAATAGGGTACCCCCAAAATAGACGGGGGAGGGGTTTCCTTGGGTGTACAAAGGTGCCCTTCTGCAGCAACCTGGGTTTCTCACCAGGGTCAGGGACTCAGGGCAGGTTTTTGCTATATGGCTTTGAAACTTGTAAAAATTAGAGGCATATATAGGGTGTGGTCCAATCCAAGATGGACCCTTTTTTTCACAGGGGACCAACCTTTGCTAGGTAGACAGCTATGTCCTGGCCTTTTATATACAGAGACTTATTTTCAAAGCTTCTGCTTTCTTGAAACAAAACCCATTTTTTCCTTTTAGCAGAGAATCTAAAATTCATTACATTATTGTTTGGGGTCAATTTGATTGTGTGTGAAGGCGTGCCGTGTTATGGGGGTGTAGGGACAATTGAGGATTGGTGTACTTAGGACATGTACGGGCTGGGTGGGGGGCGGGCGTTAGGAGTTTTTTTTTTTTTGAAAAGCGGGGGCGTTAGGAGTTTAGGGTTGTGTTTGTATGCATCTGAAGGTACTTATTAGATTGGGCCCTCGACGATCGAGAAACAAACAATACTTCAACTGCTAATGTTTTTCTGCTTGATTCATGTTAATTAATTATAATTCACCTTGGCAATATTTTCCCTATAGCTAGTTGTTTTTGTTTGAGAAAAACTATATATATATATATACACACACATAGGTGTTTCATGAATTCATAGAATAATGCCAACGTTGACATTGTTCAGGGTTTAGGACAAAAGGAATGGGTTGATGTGTGGATTAAATAGTGTAAAGGTTATTTTCATTTTATTTTTCAATTGTTGAGGAACACGAAACAGTGCAGCCGACAATGTCAATTCCTTACCAGACACCAGTAAGAAAGATTTGGCCTAGAAACTCTCTGCCTCATTTTTCCAGTCGTACGTTTTCACTGATTTATACCTTTGAATTTAATGTTGGAGGTTCCAACTACAATTCTCCTATATATGGTCCTTTGGCTAGAATTTTTTTTTAAAAATAATTTGATGTATTTATTGATGTCATTTTCCAATTAATTTATATAATATACGTGTGTATGTGTTTTTGAAAAATTTTAAGATTTACTTTGAAATAGTAATTGAGTAGTAATTGAGGTGCAAAAGTTTCGTTCTTTGATGAGTAGCTGCATCTTTATTCCATTACTTTTTTATTCCCACTTATGTAGGAGGAGGAGACACTGCAATTAGTGTGACACAAGTGTGCTGTGTGCTCTCTTAATTATAATAAGAGAATCATAAAGAATTTAAGGCCCACACATGAGAAAATTTGGTTGTGGTGGGCCAATCTGATAATTAAGTATCAATTATTTATGAGTTAATTCTGTTCAAAAAAATCATATATGAGTTAATTGCTTAAAATTACTTAATTAGAAAAAAGGCCCCCACTTTTTGTTTTTATGGCCGTTAAAACCAACATCAAAATCTTCAACCCATTTTCGTTGTTTAGATGTGGTTTTCTTCCAAGCTATTAGTTATTTGTCAGCCATCATAAGCAGAATATAAGAGGGTCTTGATCAATCAAGAGTACATGAGTGGCGGTTAAGAGACAAGAATAATTCCCCCAAGAAATTAAAAAAGAAACCACTTTTAGCCTTTCTTTCAAATTGTTAATTGAAAGTGAAAGATGGGAAAACATCTTTCTTTTATGTATATAACTCTAGCTCATCAAACCCTAAAAATCTGTTGGCATTCCTGTTGGTTTGTCTCTTTGGGAACTGGTTCCATCCTGCTTATTATCTTCATTACTGATTAGAATAAAAAGTCCTAATTTTTCAGATTATTCCTTTAATTTGCATTAATTGATTTTAATAACTTAATTGTAATCTCCTTTAAAGTGTGTAAAAATCTTGAGTTTAAGTTAATTATATATGATTATATATATATATATATATACACACACTTATGAGAATGAGAAAGCTATATATCTAGAAATAGAGTCATATTTGTGTTACCCTCAACGGTATATATGAAAGGTAGGTTTAAATGGATAAAATGCCTAGAATAATAATTAAATAATCAAGGTAGAAAGAAAATGACATCTACAATAATATTCAACATCACTATATAGCTCTCGCCTTGGTCACCAAAATAATGGTGCGGCGTTGACACCAATGACATGATATTTTTGGATGAAAATTCAAAACCAACCAACTTTGTCAAATTTTGGGATTCTAAACTGTCATCAAATTAACTCCTTGATTCAGTCATATATATATATATATATAAAATCAATATATATATATATATATAAAATCATCGCAACCGTCCAAATGGCTCGTCAATTGCTAGTTTCTGATGCTTTGGTCCGGTGGAGCAAACTAAGGATATCTACATCTACGGGGTTTTGTTATGATTAATTAAAGAATGGAAATTGTGTCTGTTATTGGGATTTCGTTTGCAAGCTTTTGGAAACAAATGAAAGTAAATAAAAGCAAGAAAGCTTTGTGGATGAGCATTTCAATTTTAGTTCAAGTAATCAACTGATAATTTTTGATTCCGATTGATTCGATTTGTTTTGTATTTTGTGAGGGAATGTTTTTAGGCAAAACGGCAGCCTAATATACTGTCATTTTCGTCTTGAATTTACCCAATTTGTGGGTATATATATGTATGACATTAGTTGTGTCATGCACTCTAGCTATTATTGGGAAGATTCTCTATATGTAATGTATGCATCTATGGCCTAAACATTAATTATTTTTATTGCCTTTTCCTTGGTTTATTTTTCAAGTACTACTCATATAATTGAGCTTTGAGCCCCTCTTTGCTTTTTATTTTTAATTTTTTATTTTTTTTAAGTGATGATATGGATGAAAGGGAAAGTGGTACAATATTGAAGGAAAATAGTAGGGCCCCAGCAACTAAGGAAAAGAAAGTAACCCATGAGGAAGAAAAGAGCCAACAAGTGGTAGCCACTGTCCACGTGAAAGTGTTTTGGGACTAATATATATGCGCATGTTGAAAGATGGATGTTTGTTCATGCTCATTCCTCAGAAAGCCTACTGCCTTTTGCAAATTCGTTTCTGCCTTGTTCGTATTTTCGAAAAGAGACACTCATTTATCAAAAGAGAGGGCCAATCTTTAATAATTAATTGGATACCCTCCTCTTGGCCCTTACACACACACACACACCTCACCTATATATTCTGTGCTCCAAACTCCAAATTAACTGGACCTGCTTTTCTTAATCTTTACCTCATATTTCATACGCATTAATTTCTTTTCACCCAAAAAATAAAAGAAAAAAAAAGGCATGTGATTCATAAAAATAAGTACTTTTTAGGTTTGATTCTTGAATGTCCTCTTTGATGTTATCTTGTAATGTCTCTTGGAGACTGTGAGTTGAGTACCTCTTATACTCCTCACCATAATAAAATTTTTTGATTCATCAAAATAAAAATAAGTATTTGTTTAAGACAATACCAAGTAATTTTGTGAGTTTATAATTAGAGAGGTATATCATGGAGGCGTTGAAGCCCATTAAATCAGGGAGATGTAAGCGATATAGTGTTTTCAAGAGAAAAAGAAAGCACAAGTAGTCAAGAGCCTTTGTCAGAATAGTGGTACTTTGTGTTTTACTCATTCTGTTCAGTTTCATTATTGTCACTATCAAACCCAGAAATATAAAACATTAGAAAAGATAAATTCTTGGTGTTCCTCCTTCTCTCCTGGGGACCAGAATCATAAATACTACTACAAGATAGATGGTTAAGTCAATTCTTGTGTATGTAGCATGACTATGGGTTTAAGAGTTTCATTACCCTTGTTTGATTAATTAATGCCGGCGCTTAATTACAGTATTTAATTAATTAATGCTTTTAATTTGCACTTTTTTTCTTCACGGGTTATTTTCCAAAACTTTATAAATAGGAAAAGGGTTTACTTGTGCAATTTATATATTGATCATAATTTTGACTGGTTTTGTGTGGTTCTGTACTTAACCTAACTAACTACTAAGTTCTTAATTAAGTTAATGAGAAGTTCAAACAATTACAAGTAACCAATTTTAGACGAATCTCACCAACCATGCATTGATAAATTTTTAGAATAAACCGTACGTTCAATCTCCTTTACACCATTTCTTTATTTAATATATCTTTTTAATATATACAATAATGAATTCAATAAGAAAAACATCTAAACTAAATAGTCTCATAATAATTTGATTTCATGACCTTTAAAATCCTATATACTTCTATTAAATTAATAGAATAAATAATGAGTTTCATGTTTTTCAAATTGAATTATGCAATAAAAATGTAATTTAGATACTAAAATTATTAAAATGTCATTAATAAAGTAACATAAAGAAAAAAAATTTTTAAATATTTTAATAAATTCATAAGTTGAACTGCATTTTTATTACACATTCCAACTTTTAAAACACTTTTTTTTTTTTTTATAAATAATATATAGTGCTATACTAATCCAAATAAGAAGATTTAACACCAACAATCTAAGCAATGCCTAGTGGTAGTCTTTGTTTCAAGTAAAATAAAAGATTATAAATTTGAGTTGTACACAATTGGATAAGGTGAGTAAAGGGTTGAGAGAAGATTATTTTTTATTATGTAATTCAAAATTTATTAAAAAAAAAAACTTAATAGTTAATTAAAATTTTAAATCAAGTACGTACATAATTCGACCACAAATAGCTAGCTTAAATTGAATTCTCATTACTCTTTGCGTCTCAAATTATCTTATAGAATTTTTGCTAATATGATACTTTTATATAACATGTAACTTGTAATTGAATTCTCTTTTATGTAATTTTTGTTGAATAAGTTCACTTGATAAAATAATTTTATTTATAATTAATATATTATATAAAAATATCACTTAAAATTATGTATAAAAGGTAAATGAGATAGTTAATTTCTCATGGCCTCTACTGCTCATCCTTAGCCCTCGGCTAACGCGAAATAAAGTGATCGACAGGATTAGAGTCAATGCAAATGACAAAAAGAGAAAGAAGACAAAATGCATAGCCTTCTTTGCCGGATCATTAACTAGGATATATCTTTCACCTAATTAAATTAATTGTAAATATGAAATTTTGTCTACAAATGCTACATTTCTTTTATATATAATTCCAATGCAAATATAGCTAGCGTACACACTGGTTAATTTGAAGATTGCACGAATGCATAATTAACTACTAGTCTATCTCTCATAAGAAGTTTCTTAAAGACTTTCCTAGCTACCTTTCCCACTTGGATGATTAAGAAATTAAACCCTCCATTTTCTTTTTCTGTAGCTGACAATTTAATCTAGCTACTATGAAAGCTACCTCATTTCTGTCCTTATTAAGCAATTATACCTCAATTTACTAGTAAGAAAGCTACTTAGAGACGGGTCTTCGGTACCTTAATGTCCATAGTAAGAGAGCGTGTTTGCATGGAGGTAGTATTAGCAAGTCAACAAACCACAGCCATAGGTAATTTCACACTAACATTGGATGACTATTTTCATTATATATATATATATATATATCAAAGTATTTATTTACTTATTTTTATTTTACATAACTCTTTGTAATTAAGTGTGTATATATACGCGCACGATTTGAAGAGACATACCTAATGAATTAAAGGGATTTATTTTTTGCTCAATTTCTATGATACTTTTCTCTAGATAAAATGTTTTAACACAATTGTTGACAAAAATTACTTCGAATTTCTAAAATGGAGCTTTCACAAAGATTATTTCATCCGTTAGGGATATCCTTTTTTTGGGAATTCAATAATTGCAAGATTAGATATAACAAATATGGAAACTTTGATGGGATCCCAAAACGCATAAAATATCTTTAATTAATTTGTCTCATTCTCGTCCTATTTCAGGGGAACCTATAGCCTAGCTTAGATAGGATATAGTGGCATCCGAAAATTAATCATTTGGGTTTTAATTATCATAATTTATATATTAAAAACGTTCCTAAAGCTAGCTAGAAGTAAACCAAAGACAGTTGATGAAAATTACACTGTGTCACGCGGTACTTTTCCATGGTGACAAAAGAGTCTGTTGGTACGATTTTAGTTGGGAAATTTCTTAGCACAAAAATGTACCTTAAACCGTGTAACTCAGTTTTGGATCCAATCTCTTTGAAAATTATCTGTTCACAAAGTTTCAGTACTTTTGATTGCTTTTTCCTTGTGAAAATCGCTCTTCTTTTAGTGCCCTACTCTTTGTACATATAGGTGCACATAGGATTCAACAGCAATAGTTCTCAAGTCAAAGGCCTTAATGAGCACTAGAAATTCCAAAGCTAACGAGTAGGAAATTTACTAACGACAAATTGATCGAATTAATATTCACTAATTTTATTAATTATGACAGCCTATAGCTCATCATTTGATGACAAAATAGAAAGAAAATGAATTAGTTATGAACAATGATTTTCCTAGAGAGGCTCATCATCACGCACACAATGCTACACTTGTATACTTTCCATGCAATTTCCTCTAAGAAGGATGCTATGTATGTATTTTGCCATGGTAAGGACTTAAAACAAGATATGAAGCTTCTCCCCTTTATGGGAATGAATGATCAAAGAGAAATTCATTTGTAAGTAGCCCCATATGTATGATTATATTGCTTGTAATCTTCGATTGGTGGACATATTTCCAATTTCCATGAAATAATTCAAAGGCGATATATAAAAAATATTCTATCCACATTTATTATGTATTTTAAATAGTCAACAAAACAGAAATTTGTAGAGATTTCGACATCATTAATAAATACATGCATTGTATTGGAGGCTAATAATTCAACAGCACGTGGTGCCGAAAAAAAAAGAAAAGAAAAAAGAGCAAAATGGCATACCCTTTCATAGTGTATTTGGGTCTTTGGGCTGGAGTATTCAGAGATCTCCCAGTCCAAGTCTCATGGGCTGACACAAAAGGCTTTTTAGAAACCCAACGGAACTCCAGGCCCAATCCCTGAAATTCGACCCAATCATACGAAAGGGATAAGATTTGGCAGATTTGCTCACAGGCGAGAAATAGGATACAACTGCAAAATAGGAAACATTTCCAAGGTAGGCCTCCTGGAACATTGTGTGGAGTACGATTAAGAGATATGTATAAAAACTGGACGGTGGTCGCATATGATGCATTTGAAGCATAGAAGCAAATTTGTTGGGTTGTATATAGATTTACTCTCATGAACCATAAACAAAAGAAAAATATCATCTTGGCAAAGCCATTACAAACAAAATTTCAGATTGATTCTAAATCACTCAAACAACCCGAAATGGGGGAAAAAAAACATTTCCCTCATCAATGGATGGCCAAGATGAAGGAATGAACACGTGATGGGGCAACAAGGCTTCTATTCCTCCCCAAGACGTAGCAAAAAATTATGATGGTAAATTGAAAGAACTGAAATGAAAAACTTGATCAGGTCACATGTATTTTCTATTTACCATCATATGCACCCTGCCAGGATGAAAAAGAACAAAAAAAAAGGGCACCGGGTGGGAACTAGGAAGGTCATGGGGGCTCCTCTCTAAGATGCTTGGTTATCCTCACCTTCCTGCATCTTTGAATTAATTAGCATCACAACCCCATCTCTTTGAGATTCACTCTCTTCCCTAACTCCTCTAGGTACGTCACCAAGTTGGCTGTCATTGGCAATGTCCCTAACATTGTCCTTGAGATCCCCTTTACCATTGAAATCTGCAGAATCCACATGATAAGAACCATGTGAATCCAAAAACCCATCCTCATTATAACGAAATCGCTTCACACTGCTATAAATATCATAATGCTTTGTGCGATGCAGTGCCTCATATTTGTAATCACGTTTCCTCCTGTCATCATTGATTTGATCATGCCTCAATCCACTGCTGACCATGCCCCTCCCAGAAAATCGTGCAGGATGCATATCTCGGTAGTTTCTGAATGAATATCCTAACTCATGCCTGTTATTTTGAGGGCCAAATGAAACTGGCAGTCTCTGATCCATTGCCAAAGAAGAACCCTGATCATACGACCGTGCCCCAAAATGAAACATCCCATCTTTTCTATTAATAGTTCTTCTGGAATTATGTGGTTGTGAACCATGACTTCTATGCATTGATTCAAAGTCTTCTACATGCTCAGCTGAAAAACGAGGTCGATGGTTGGGCAACCTTCCTCTCTGCACTCTGACATCAGTTCTAAAACTAGGTGACCTACTTCGGTGTGAATGAGTATCCTCTCTTTTTTCAATTGGAGAAGAGCTTCTTTCTCGTTTTGTTGAAGAATGAGAAATATTCAGAGGAGCATTGCAATCATCAGGTATGGGCCTCTGGTATCTCCCTGTGGGGCCTCCCCCATCCATTCTTAAACTATATCTCGTGGACCTTCCCCTTTCAAGAGAAAGACGCCTGCAAGGACTGAATTCTCTGGTCAGCCTGCTATGCATATGCATAGCAAAAACCTCATCCCTATCAATTGGCAGCCTCCTTCTAGCAAGATGCCTTTGCACACCACGCTCTACATCGGGTCGATTAAAAGATACTGGACCATGATAATTACGTGACTGAAAGTGTCTTGAACTCCTACGGCTATCTGATGGATGAACCCAACGATCACCTTCCTGTGCTTTGGCATTTACATGGTATCTGCCCCGAGTAAAAGACTTAACATATCCAGACTCTCTTTCAGATCTTGGGTTAAAATTGCCAACATCACTGTACTCAAGAATATAGCAAGTGTTAGCAAATAGTAAAATAACTAGCTACAAGCCTGTACAAAATTTAAAGATACAAGATAGAGGATGGAAGAGCATTAAAATACAGTTTTAGAACATACCCACTTCTTGGCATGCAAAATTTCCTCAAAAACAAATCTTCAGAGTCCACTCGATCCATAGAATCTGCACCAACATTCCTTTTTCTTCTGCCACTAAAAGGTCTATTCACCGGTCCAGAACTACTCATTTTCACATCAGTTGGTTGGCTTGGTTCAGTCACATTACCTTCAATTGCACCATCCTCACAATCGCTGAGCAGCTTATCAGTCAAGGTTCCAGGTTTAACAGATTCATGTAAACTGGATCTTGGGGCATTCCTTGTTATCACTTCATTTTTAGCACCCAAAGAATTATCATTATCAGAACCATGCTCCACATGTTCAGGTGTCAGATCCTCACCATCATAATCCTCCCAAGTATGAAAAATTGATTCTCTAACTTCATTTTCACAACTCAAATTGTTAGCATTATTGGGCCCATAGCACAACGGATCAATTGATTCTCTGACTTCTCCATCTTCATACTGGTAATCATAATCCTCTTCAAATTTTGCAGAACAATAATTCTTATCAGAAACATTAGAATCACAACCATTTTCAACAGGCTCTTTTAGAGACATCTCATCGAAATTTTTTTGACCCATTCCATTTGAAATGCCTTTGGAGGCACTAGGTAGAAGCCTTTCAGCATCGCATTCATCACCAGGTTCCCTTGGCATTTCATGACCTTCTAAGTTGGCTTTATTATCACTAGAATTACCATCCTTCAAATCCTCAGAGGTGACATCTGCAATAGCATTTTGAAAATCAGGACATTGAAAATTGGAAGGGTGTTCCCACATATCCATTGTAGTGTTTAAATCCCAATGTAACCGGTCATTTGGAGAAGATAACTCCAAGGTGCTACCCTTTTCTTCATCTCTCTTGTCAAACAAATCCAATACAGCACTTGAACTAATCCGTAGACCTTTATCTTCCACATTTGTTCCATGCAGTAGAACATTTCCAGAGGAATGATCCGTTCCCTGCCAACCATCAGTTTCTTCTGTGGGCAGAAGAGAGAGACAGGAAGCAGTTCCTTCAGTTGAAATTTCAGCAGAGTTTAAGTCTCCTTTGGAAATTCTCTTTGACAAAGAACATGATTCTTCAAACCCTGAACCATTCTTGGCACAGGATTCATCTTTGCCAAAACTAGTGCAACAAGCAGCAGCCACAAGCAATGAAATTCCTGAAAAGTCTTGACATTCATCTTCTTGTCCATCTAGCCCGTCTAGGTACTTCTCATCAACATCTCCTTCCATGTCAACAATTTGACCAAAGTCATGTGCTGAAGTACCGCAATCATTTACCACTCGTGACCCATCACTCTCCTTACAATGTAGGGAATAGGTTCTAGGTGATGAAGATGGTGATTGAAACATAAATTTCCTCTTTTTGAGTGGAATAATTTCTTCCTTTTCATCTAAATGGGAACCAAGATCACCAACTTCAAACTGCCAGGCAGGCTCCGATGCTTTGTTGTCCAACTCTGCACCACTTTTCAAGCTTCCTAACGCCGATTCACTAGCCTCTCTGGATGAACTCCAATTTCGTGGCATACTACTTGGAGGAAGACCAATCAACCAAAAGTCTTATAGGATAAAGTTGCTGCTGCCTTTTCCTTCTGCTTAAAAGTCACAGAAGACCATAAGAAAACCTGAAAGTCAAAAATGCAAGCAGAAAATTTTAGGTATTTCTGAATATCTATATGCAAATCAGTACACAGAACGTATACCAAGCCTTCACATAAGCATCCAAGAACCCAGCATATGGAAGCAAATGAGGCAGAGGATTGCCAACATCCAAAATGACTTGGGACCTCTTGTTATTGCAAGGGAAAAGATTCAAAAGAAGGAAAAACCAAATCACATTTTGAAGAAACCTCACATCTGCACCTACCTCTCCCACAACTATGCAACTACCTCTCCCACAGCTAACACAATCACAATACTCAATTTCAATAATCTACAAAGCAAATAACGTCAACATCAAACCAAATTGGAGTTTCCAATAACTCCAAGAGTCCATAGGCTTTTTCCATCATCATTTGAGCCCTACCAAACCCTAGGAATCACAGGCACACATT